CGTACGTACGTACGTACCGTACCCGTACCGGTACCGTCGTACGTACGACGACCGACCGTAACGTACGTAACGTAACGTACGTACTACTCTCTCTCTCTCTCTCTCTCTCTCTCTCTCTCTCTCTCTCTCTCTCTCTCTCTCTCCATTCATAGATATCGCTTTGGACTTCAATTTTGCAATAGACATTTCTTTCTCTCTCCATCTACAACATGTTTTTCTCTCTAGTGATTCGTTGCATTTTAACCCCTTTTTCAAGTAGACATGTATCTTCCAGGTTGCATCCAGTTGCTAATCAAACAACAAAAACACATTTACCGGAATCTTTTTCGCAATAAATGTATTTCACAAGAAATAATTTTTTTTCTGCACAATTTTTTCCAGTGATCCAAAAGGGCCCTTAGGGTAGGTAAGATGAATTCCACCCTACAAGCTCAAGATTGCAATAAGAAGCACCTTTCCATTGGGCCTAATCTTGAACCAACAAAAACTAATTAATCATGCAATGTTTACGCAAAAGAATTTGTAATAAACATTGAGGTACATCCCTTTATATAACATCCCAAAAAGCAAAATTTCCAAGTCATGAACATCTTTACCATGTAGGGTCATAGAATGTTTTCTCTTGAATGCTTTTGTTTTTTATTGATCATAAATACAAAATCACATTTTAGTGTTTTGATCCCTCTTTATTCTTTTTTTGTTGAGATATGACTTAGCAAGGTTTTGAGCCTTGGATTTTAGATTCATTACTTTAACATTTGCCCTTCATCAAGGGTAGCTCAACTAGTTTCTTCTCTGAAGTTCAATTTCTCAAATCCATCTTCACTAAGGGCACATTTGATAACTGGAAGCTCCAGTTTACTGCAGCACTTCCTTGTTTGATAACAATAGGTGCTTCCTTGTTTGATAACAAGGAGTGCTTCAAGAATTTGCCATTAGGAAGTTCTTATCCCACCCAGGGAAGTCTTATCCTGGTTTTTAGGAAGTTCACCTCTTGCTTTCTTTTTGCTTTCGAAGCCATTTCTCTCTCTCTCTAAATCCTTTCTCTTTTTAACCATGAACTTTCTCTCTCTAAAACCTCTCACTTACCAATCATTTCCTATCTCTAACTCATCGCTCTAGCTATACTCTCTCTCTGTAAATGTGTCCTTTCTCTCTTTGATTCCTATCTCTCTATGACTCTCCCTCTCTAACCATACTCATTCTCTCTCTAATTTTTTCTAAACATTACCCTTTCGCTTTTCCAGCCATGCCCTTTTTCTACCTAAATCCTCTCCCTCTAATTGTATTCTTTCTCTCTCTAACACCTTTCTCTCTATGTCATTTTTCTCTCTCTAACACCTTTCTCTCTATGTCATTTTTCTCTCTCTAACACGTTTCTCTCTATGTCATTTTTCTCTCTCTAAGTCCTCTCTCTGACCATGCACTTTATCTATCTAACTCATTTTCTCTCATATGGTTTCTATCTGTATCTCTTTTCTCTCTCTAGGTTTCTATCTGTATCTCTTTTGTCTGTCTAACCATGACCTTTCTCTCCCTAAGCCCTCTCTCTAATTGAGACCTTTCTATCTTTTTGTGTGACAATGTGAAGCCCAGAATCTGTTAAGCTTTGTTAGATCCTTATGAAGCCCGATCTCTATATTTGATAACTTTCAAGAAAGGCTATCAAACAAGCAAACCAAAACCTCCAGACATCAACAGTTCTGTCTTCCATGGACCTAGAATTTCCAGGTTCCAGTGAATCCCAAATATGCTCTAAGAGACGCTTATCTATCAAATTACTTCGAGTCCTAGATACAGTGAACTCTATTGCAACAATGACACTTTGTATAACTTTTTCAATCAGGCTTACCACATATGTGATAATCAAGCAAGGTTTCCAAGTACTCCCTACAAAAATTATGCAAGTACATAGCGATAATGGATTCATAACTACATTCCCTCCCAAATAGAGGGTTGTGACCCTAAACACAATTTTGTGTGCAGACATATGCACAGAGATTCACAATGGCATGACTTAACAAACCAATGCTACAGATTATATAAGGCGCCAAGCTGTGGAAAAACCTAACCGATGTTTCTTTAATTTTATTGTTCATGGTGTTTGAGATTCCCTGTAAAATCCTGTGTCGATTTGTGGCTAAATACCTAAAAGAAACTCGTTCTAGTTGCTATTGACATGGATATTTACACCAAACAAAAATGTTGAGGACTTGTTCTCTACCATTATCACTTTAATCTCTAATAAACATAAATTAGAAATCAAATATCATACTGAAAATAATTCAAAGGCAACTCACAACCTTTCAATTTAAGCACAATTGACTCAGACAAGCAAACAATGACAAAGAAACTGTATAAGGAAAATGTATAAAATGCTATGAGATAAACTTACTGAGAAGTCTCTAGCTTTATGCTTCTGTGGTGCCATCATATCTTTGAGAAGAATCAGATTTCAGTACCTGGATCCATCATATTGTAAATTAAAACCCTAATCGGAACGAAATCAATACGGGGATAGGGGAATTTGCAGAGCTAACAATAATTCAAAATGAACTACAACGCGAAAGGGAGAAACCTTAAGACCAATCCGAAGAATGTAGAGAGAGAGAGAGAGAGAGAGAGAGGAGATCATGAAATATAGAACTTAATAACATACAAAGACAGAGGATAAATAATGGAGCGAGAGTGAGAGAGGGCGCGAAGCCTAATCATAAGAAAACATGCGGAGAGAGACGCCGAAGACGTGTGGGGGAAACAGAGACAGTTACTGAATTGGGGCGCCAAACCCATCCGGAATGTCAACTGGGGCAAAGCATATTGAAAAGGAAAATGTTTTGATAGGGCTGCAGTACTATCATCAAAATAATCTAAGGGAAAATTACTAAAAGCACTCCAAATTGTACTTTCTAAACTCTTTACCCACCTTAATTCTTCCTCACTAAAATTTCTCAAAATTTAACTTTTATAACTAATACCCTCAATCTAAAAAAAAATTGAGAAAAAGACAAGTTTGCCTTTTCCTTTTTAACCTACCAATTTTACACTCCGGCTGGTATGGAATGGAAATAGTTCATTGTTAAATAGGCAATCTGACACCAGTAAAACGCGCTCCGGCATCTTTAGAATTCACTCCGACAATTGATGAACTCGCTCCGGCGAATAGTTAACTGTAAAATAGGCACTCCGACACTTGTAAAACGCACTCCGACACCATTAGAATGCACTTTGGCATTTAGTGAACTCACTCCGGCAGGTAGTTCACTCTAAAATAACAACTCCGGCACTTGTGAAGAGCACTATGGCATGAGAAGAACATCGAACCGGCAGTTTCCTCCTTGGAAATTTTGCAGTCCGAAGATTCACCGCATCACCCCGGTGATATGCTTCCTGGTAACACAGGCACTACGGCGAATACACTGAAGTAGTCTGGCATAGTTGAATATGGCTACGTCAAATAGTCCAGAGTTTTGGAGCTTGCGTTCCTGGCGGGTCAGTCCGGTCATGTCTCTGAGCGGTCTGGCAATTTGTTTAATGTGCAGACCGGTGATTTGTAACATAACTCCGGTAACGTTACAACTAGAGTGGGTTCAGTCCGGTGTTTAGATATTTGATCCAGCATATTGTTGTCTCATAAGCACTCCGGTAGTTTAGAAACTTAGTCCGGTGAAAGATTTATTGGGGTCCGTCCGAAGGATTCGGTCGTACGTTCAAGGTACAGGAAGGGGTATTTTTGTCAAACAAAATATATCTTTTTCAGTTGGGGGGTATTAGTTAGAAAATATGGTTTTTACTAAAAAGAAGTGAGAAAAGATTGACTGGGGGTAAAGTGTTTAGAAAGTGCAATTGGGGTGTTTTTCGTAATTTTCTCAATAATCAACGTAAGTAAAGCCTCACTTCAAAACTCAGATAAAATAGTTATTGTTCTGACATTGGAAAACATTCAAATCGATCATCTCAGCCTTGAACATTATGATCATGAAAAAAATCAGATTTTAAATTTTAAAAATAACATATATTTTAACAAATTATCAAGACATTCTATTTCGCCCTAAAAATATGGGTTCACATATTTACAATATTTGTGCTATCTTTTTAGCTTCAAATTTCACAGTCGATGTTATAAATTGATTTTAGAGCCACCAAAGAAATTTTTGCCTAAAGTGCTTTTAGGACCAAGATTTGAGGTAAGGCTTTACTTTGTTTTTGTAAAGCTAAAGCATTGTAGAAACTTCATCCTAATGGAAAGAATAAGATGAGCCTTTTGTTTTTTTTTTTTGGGGGGGGGTGGGTGGGGGGGGGGGGGGTAATTTATTGAAAAGCAAAATTAAGATTTAGGGAAGTTAGTGGTAGATTTAGGGAAGTTAGTGGTATTTAACATGTTACCCAAATGTTTTAATTTAATTTCAAAATATCTATCAAAATATATATGATTTTGAGCTGGAATAGTAAAAAGAATGAAAAATATTAAAGAGTTGAAAAATGTTATGCATTTTGGTAAATTTCATTTTTATTTATTCTACACAAGGACGCCATTTTTTATAGTGAATATTATATAGTTAATTTTATTCCATCTCCTATGTATACGATTAAGCTCAATATTTGGGGCTCTTGTACTTGTGGCAAAAACACACTTACCTAAAACGTTAAAAAAATATTATTAAGTTGAATAAAAATGACCAAAATATCCCAATAATTTTAGAGAATTCGAGGCTCTAAAAATGATAAGAACCCAGCAGATTTGTAAACATTCAAAATGTATGGAAAGTGTTGTAGGAATTGGATCATTTTAAAGCTTGAGATCTATAGGTCTATGATCTCCAAAATGGAACTCATTTATATGACAGTAGAAATGATCGATATGACCAAAAGCTACAATTTCCAATGAGATTCGTGGTGTGGTTACCCGAAGTATCAAAATTTCAAAAGGGAAAGTATATATTGAGATCATTTACCTTTGGTATAAGATGGACACAATTAATCTTGACCATCATATGTGAAATTGGATAGCTGCATTTATTTCATTGACCAAGCTTAAAGTTAAAAAAAAAATATCTCGAACTTTGTGATGCACTTGAGCAATCAGATTTTACATATTGCGACCGCCCTATACCAAGGATAAATGGTCCTATTGTATACAATCCCATTTCAAAATACTTTTATAAAAAAATCATGATGTTTATGACATTCACATTACGTTGGAACCACACATGTACCATTTCACAGGGAGTTGGTTTACACGGGGATCAACTTTAAGCCATCAAAGTGAAGTGCATGTTGAAACCCAGATGCATTTTTTATGTCAAAAACCTCAATAATAACCTAAAATTTTGATTTTCACCCATAATTATAAAATTTCAAGAGTAAAAAGTGGTGTAGATCAAGCAGATTTGTAAATAATGAAAATTGATAGCCTAGATAACCATTTACAATATACATTATCTTTAGAACATTAATTCATTTACTTTTCTTTTTCTTTTTTTTTTTTCTTTTTTTTTTTCTTTTTTTTTTCTTTTTTTTTTTTCATATCCATTCGTCTCGAGATCATGACCAATCCCATGACCGGATAAAGGAGGAGGATTGTGTAAGGTCGGCAGCTAGCGTAAAACTTTACCACATCTTTTCATGAATCCTGAACCAATATTATATGTTTACGCTAAGGCGTTGGTGACCTATAGTTTGACTAAGGGTATGACCGTTGATAGAGCATATGGCGGAATAGAATTCATGTAGCTGACCCCAAATAGTTCGGATAAAATTCAAATGATGATGATAATTTGCATGTCTTGAGATCGAGATGATCTATTTAAGGTCTTCCAACATCGAAACAACCTTTTCTAGTTGGTTTTGACATGTGCCTGACATAGATTACACAAAATTGTCCTCACAAATGTTCAGAATAGAGAAATCAATCATATCAAACCCCCATTTTTGACAATGTATGGCCACTGAATCTTCACTTTAAGTGACTGTTCTCATTGGACGATATGCTTACTATCATCTCCATCTGTAGTTCATAATTTAAATGAATGGTGGAAATATTCAAAGGGAGATACTAGACAAGTTCATGGAAATATTCAAAGGGAGATACTAGACAAGTTCATGGAAATATTCAAAGGGAGATACTAGACAAGTTCATGGATTATGTTGTAGTTTTGTTATAGAAAAATATTAGGTTTCATATGAAAATTGTAAAGAGTCTCAGATTGCTATGGAGAGACTCCATGTATCAATTAATTGATATAAATATATATACATGTTTTTTATAGACAAATTATAGATGACAATAATAAAAACTAAATCATAGACACCTAAAGTATATCAGAATTACCATAAAATACAGGATACAGTATCATATTTTTTCCATATTTATTGATTATAATATGCACATTCTATATTAACCGAATATACAATATATATTTTCCTTTCACATTTCCTCTCAAACTCAATATGCTATGAAAGAGAGCAACTGGAGTTTGAACACCAAGTCATGGAAACGAGCAGTTGGATATTCAAGGGCATATTTCGATTGCTTGATCAACAAACACAGAAATCACAAAAAAATAGACAAGACAACCAAAAAAACAAAATGGCATTTGGAAGAGCTAACGAATCTCAAAGTGGATTTGAGATAGATTCAGCTGCTCGCAGATCAGAACGGACATGATCAAATAATAGAACAAACAAAATCATCGCAAAAACAAGCAACACAAATATGAACTAAGAAATCTACTTTTTTTTCTTTTTTGGGACATTTTTAGAGGGGTTTCTTAGCAAATCTGGCCGGGAAAGGGAGAATGGCTGATTTTTTCAAAGAGAAAAGATTTGTTCTTAAAAACGGCGTATCACACTTTTTTCTTTCTTTTTTTATGAGATGGAAAATAGAGTGCACTCACTACAAAGATGGTCTCACGAAACTTGTAGTGTGGTCCGTCACACCACCAAGGGACTTACGACAAAGATGGTCTCAGTATACCTGTGTGGTGCAAGAAATAAAACTAGTCAACAAAAAACATTCTCTCTCTGGAAACTATAACAAAACAAGACCCACCAAGTTCAAAGGATCAAAGGAATAAGATAGGCCACCAAAGATCACAAGAGGACCACCAACGAAGCACAAAGGCAAAAACCAGCTTCATCATCAACTAATGAAGGTTTTGCTTCATCAAGAGCACGCGCACCTTCAACCTTCTCTGTAGCAACAAACGATATGCAACAGCGACCGCACAAAAAAAAACGTCATTCAATCTCTCTACCCATGGACGACCCCCCACTCTGAAAGCAGAACCAAACGAAACTCTAAATCTATTCCAAAAAAAAAAACATTGAAACCATAGGAAAACCAGACGTCATAGAAGAAGCTCCAGCCCAAGAAGGAGGACGGGCAAATTTTGGGAACGGGATTTGCAAAGCAAATTGTTTGAAGCAAAGTTTTGGGAATAGAAGCTTTTGAACGGAAGCAAAAAGGACCGAAGCCAATTTTGTTTTTCTTTGGACAGCTCACTCTTTTCTTGTTTTTGCAGTCGGATTATTGATCGGCTGTTATGAAACAATTCGATAGTGGGGCTTAGATTAGAGGATTCGGAAGGCAAAAAAGAGGTTGAGCAAACAGATCAAAGAGTCAAAACATGACTCAATAGATAAAACAAATCAGATAGTTGAAACACAACTCGACTCAACTCGACTGGGTGAACATCAATCTCATCTGGCTCTGATACCTTTCAAACCTTAGTGTTTTGAAAAGTATGTCCCCTCTTTTCTGCAAAGACAAAAATATCATGTTTTTTTGTCCCGTACTTAATAATGAAAAAAACAAATTTGGATATCGGGAATACCCA